GACAGAAAAAGATTAGCCTGAGGCAAAGGCTGGGACATTTATTTATGAGACAAAAATATGTGGTGTTCTGAAAACTGAGTCGCAAATATCTGAACCGATGACTGCAACGTCTTTCAGTTTGATTCCACGCCAGGACATTTGTTGCAACTGTCCTGTTTATATCTACACCATCAATAAAGAGGTAAAAAAAAATGCCACAAAAATATTCTTTAAATAACTAAATGAAAATGTAAAACAAACTGCCCAGAGGTAAAATCAGACATGTTCAGGGACATGTGATAAATGTAACTCAACAACAGTGTCATTAACTGCTGGATCTGAATTATGACAGTCTGGAATTATTTAATAAATGGACCAATTCATGTGTGTATCTAGAATCTGAGCCAAACCCAGAGCGGTCACTTACTCTCTGTTTCTTTATTGGCAGAGTCCGGTTTGGATCGAACGCCAGACCCATCTCCTGCAGGTTCCTGGCCATGGACTTGTTGTCGTCCCACGCATTTCGAATCTGTGAACTGAGAGAGGAAGAGAGGCAGGAACAAACTGTCAAAATTACATCTAAAATAAAAATGCGCCTAAAAATTACACCTTGTGTTAGTTATTAATGTTTCTTTCAAGATAAAAAAACAAACACCTCCTGAATTTAACACTTTACACTCCTGTTATTAAAGTCACACTAACATTTATAGCTGTTTTGTTTATACCTGTTATGTGTAAAAAACATATATCTTAGTCATCTGTGGCTCAGGGACTGTGTTGTACAAAATGCTAATATGCATACAGTATTTACTGCCTTGATTAATGTTTTGCAGCTCGGTCCCAGAGACAAACATTCAGCCCTGTACATCAGAGATATTCACATTTTCAAAACTTAATATTTTGCCACATTTCAAAAGAAGCCTGATGATTAACTAAGAAAGAAAATAAATCTCCTCCTCTCAGTAATAGACGATTGTGTTGTGGTGGCGATCTGCACCCGCACAGTTTCTTGTGTATTCGCAGCTGGACTTGAGTCAAGGCCTTGGTTTCATTTCCGCTCCAGGTGGGCAGCGACTCAATGAAACAATTGAAGGATTTAAGCGACGTGGATATCCGCAGTGAGCACACACATCCCGACGACTACTGACCCCCCCCCCCCCCCCCCCCCCCCCCCCCCCCCCCCAGACGACCCTGCAGACCACTACAACAGGAAAGCATGGCATCCACTTGTCCTCCAGCCTGTAGACCGCCACAGTTTGACGCATGAACCCATGATACACATTCAGATGAATTTAACTACTTTGTTATCTTTGTTTTATCTTTTTACAGAATCCATCATCTCGAAGATGATGGAGCAGCAGCTTCACCCACACCTTACTTCAGCTAGGATGGTGGTCGAGATAATGACCTGAACCTAATGCCTGATGTTCACCAACACTGAATAACACTGATCAAAATATTTCAACAACTTCATTTCATATTAGTCGCTTTGATTCCTCTGTGTCTCATCAATAACCAGTCCAATATAGATTATTAGCTCACGGTGAAACGGTGGTAGGACAATACTTGTTTCTGTGACTTATTTATCTTGTGTTTATTAAGTTAAACCTCAGTTAACCCAGGTCTGAAGGAGGTTTAAGTTAAACCTCAGTTAAACCAAGTCTGAAGCAGGTTTAAGTTAAACCTCTGTTAAACCAGGTGTGAGACACGTTTAGGTCAACCTCAGGTAAACCAGGTCTAAAGCAGGTTTAGTTAAACCTCAGAAACGGTGACCTCTCGAGGACCCAGCGGGGTGGGGTTTAAGTGATCACGTGACTTTGACCCACAGGTATAAACTCGTCCTAACTGTTAAACTGAAACCAGCCTTGTGTTTCTCATGGTTCCAACATGCCCAGCGTTAGCCAACATTAGCTAACATGCTAGCGAACCGTTCCGTCCTCCACTTACTCTTCTATCCTCGGCTTATATTTCTTGATGAACTTCTTCTTCATCTTCTTCCGGTCTTTGTTGTAGTCGAACTTCTTCCTCTTACTCGACTGCTTGGTTTTCGGCATGTTTGTATTTTTCTCTGTTTTCTCGTCACAGCGGAGGTTTGTTGGTCTGAGAAGGACGCAACGTGCAGCAGCAGCACCAGGAAGCACGTGTTTGTTTTGTTCCGGTCATGTGATTGCAGACCACGCCCCGCTACAGACCACCTTTGACCTTTCGGGCTTTTCTTTTCTTTAATCGTTTTGTTTTAAGTTTACGTTTTTATTTTATTTACACACATATAATAGAAAAGTATGTTGCTACATATTAGTAATGACATTTGTTATTACATGAAAATTTGAGGGTTTTGGTTTTGGACCGTTGGTCAAGAACAAAACAAACAAAAAAAAACAAGATGTTTAAATGTTGGCTGAAAAAAAATAGTTATTTGATGTATAGATGAGAAGTGTGCTTCATTAAAACTGTATTTTAGTGTTTGAACAAAAAATCTTTTTACATATATCCAAGCTGAAAACTTTTGTGTTTGCCACTGACCTCTAATTAAATTAAATTTGGGACTGTTTATTCATATTTTGTTCTGTGTTGTAACGTATTCTCCTATTTATTCTGTTTTATTCAGTTTTTATCTTATCTACCATTTCACTTCTATCTTACTAAGTCTTGTTAATCAGATGTTCTGAACAAATTAAAAACAGTAACAAAAACAGACACACTAAAAAGATATTGAATGATAAAAACACTAAAAGGAAAACCTCTAAAGTCTTTATATAGGTTAGCATCAGAGTTTTTGATATGCTTTTTTCCCCTTTTATCGTTACTTTGAGTTTCAGTGACAGCTTTGATTTAATGGGGCTGCTGAGTCAAGGGTTGGAAACAGCTGCAACTGCTGCTTTTATCCTCTAGATGTCAGACTGTGTAAAAAAAAAAAAGTATGTCAAAAGCTGCAGATTTTCAAATTTTGGAGTTAAGTGAAAGATAAAATCTCTTTTTTTTTTAACCTACACTTAACCTTCAAAATAAGAGCTGTTCATCAAATTTCTTTTGACTTTAAAAGCTCCAGACTGCATTAGAGCTCCACAGGTCTCTGAAGCCTGTTTAGGTCTTTTTCTGCATATTGAATGTTTGAACAACAGCAGCAACATTTACTTTTCTTTCTCTTTCTCTCTCTTCTTTCTGTCTCTTTTTCAGCCAATTTCAAATTCAAATTCTATTCTCAAATTCTTATTCATGAATTGATAAAGGTATTTCTCAGTGGTATATTTTATTGCTGTTTTTGTAAATCCATTTTTAAATCTTAAGTATTTATTTATGGATTAATCATTCATTTATAAATTCTTTTTACAATTCCTGTTTTTAATGTTTATTAAAATATGAAATTAAGGAAATACTTTATTACTTTTCCTGTGACACCCCTGGTCCTCCATAGTCCTCTACCTGTTCAGAGGCAGATATTTCCCCCAGGAGTTGGTGGACACCAAATGCAGAGCTAAAGGAGAGAAAATACTGGACTGAGATTCACCAGGTGACACGAACACCACAACACATGAATCGTCATGTTGCTCTGTGACTGCTGGATATGGAAAGTAACATGTTGGATTACTTAATCACTGCCAGCGAGTACAGGTTTACTTGATGTTAGATAATGTTCTTCAGTTGTTTATGTTTGCATAAGACACCTTTTAGTCTTTGACGTCCAGGGGATTCAAGGGAAGATGAGGATTGTTTCCAAATGGAAGTTTGGTCCAGAAAGTGAGTTCTGAAAGCCACATCCAGGGGAAGCAATCAGTGAGTGACAAGTACTGATCAATAACTCTATCAACCCCCCTCCTGCTTGATATGAGCTGCTGTCGTCAGTGTGCATGACAAAACAGTAAAAGTCTTTCTTAATGTAGCTTTAATGCACCGTGGTGCTTTCATTGATCCATGCAGGGAAAGATGAGCCACAAAGAGCTGCAGCTCTGGAGTCAGTAATCCATTGATTTTTGTATTTGTAACAGTGCATCAATCTGATGCATCTGATTGATACATCCACGGACACCAAACCCTTTTTGACCAATAAGAGGAGTTGTATTTCAGTCGTAGTGTATTGATTTAAATATTGTGACCTACGTCATTGTGAATCACAAATGAAGCTGATGGGAATATTTTTTTAATAGCTACATAATTAGCACATCAATCAATTATAGGGAAGTCAGAGAAAACACAGTACATGGAGTCAACCTCATTACTATGGAACCGTTTGGTAAATCTTCAAACATTAAGATCAAAAAATATGAAAAACAAAAATGTAATGCATGTAATTTCTTCATTGTAAATCACTTCTAGCTGCATTTCTTGATTAACAGGATGTTATACACATAAAGTGTATTGTCATTATTGATAATAAATAATGACATATGTTTTATAAATGTTATAAATAAATATAATGAATTTAATAAAGTTACATTACTATTTTACTATAAATAAAACATGCTCCGAGGTTACTCATGAAACAACAACTTCATTAGAGCTGTAGTTTTTTTTCATTTAATCTTTCAAAATGTACATAATTAATGTCCAGCAGAGCAGCCAAGAAAATGTTCATTTACATTAGAAAAATGTGGACAGAAAATCCCAGTACTATTATGTTTTAACAGATAAAATACACTGTGTAACCAAGGCTGGTGGAACAGAGGGTATCTTGAAAATGTGAGCAGAGTGAGAGGTCTGCCTGTGGTGTCTGCCTCGTGTTGTGTTTACGTGTTAAATTTCGAACAGAGTGTGACGTCTGTGTTTCTCCCCTCCTCTCTGACAGCAGCTCCAGGGCGGAGAGATGAAGGGAGGAGGAGGAGACAGCGGAGAGGAGGGGTGCGGACTGTCACCGGACAGCACTGAACGAGAAGCACAAACGGGGAGTTGAATTTGTCCTCCTTGGCTGGGCGGTGGGAGGAGGCGGTGGACGGTGTTTAGGGAGGATAAACTGAGATTGAAGCCGCCGCGGGGGACCAGGAGCTCGGTCTGCTGCTGCTACTGTAACCCCAGACGGCATCGACATGGAGCTGGAGAACATCGTGGCCAACACGGTGCTGCTGAAAGCACGGGAAGGTAAGGATGGAGATGGCGGTTTGACAGCTCCTCTCCCCCGGTACCGTACCTACGACACGGCGGCGGTCCAACGGCAGGAGGGATGCCCCGGACAACGAGTGATAGAAACTGTTACTGCACTTCCTGTTGGCCGGTGATCAAATCTTTTGATGCTGCGGCTCGATACGAACAGGACGCTACCCTAAAATAAAATATGCGCCGGACTCCATTAACAACTTGAGCGATTCGAAGTTTTCTGGCTTTTTCGCGGGTTTACGTAGATGTTATTAACGAGCCGACACTCATGCCCAACTCCTTAACAAATAGAGGTCAATTCGGCGTGGAACTGGTTTTACTTTATACCTTAATTACACAAAATATCAGCTTTCCTTGTTCACGGTAAACTGTCAGTAACTGTTAGAATACGCTAACCGCCTCCACAGGGAGTCCCGCTGAGAGAAGGCAGCGGTGACGCCAAGCTAGCAGTTTGTCGTACTTTTAATATTAACTGAAATGAACTTCTGTTTACTAATGTATGCCGAATTAAAGAATGGGTCCCGGAGACCTGTAAAACGTTATCCGTATTGTTGTGTGCTGTGAACGCACGCGGTTGAAACGAAAGGGCGCGTAAAATTCACACATTTTCAAAACGAGTTTGGCGTGGCACGCGAAACGCGAAGTACGAGGTCCGGAAGGGGGTTTCAACTGTGAAATGTGGCTGCAGCGACACATCGGGTTTCCCTTTGCTGATGTTGCAGCATCGTCCTGTGCGTTTGCGAAACAGGATGTTGAGGCAGAGCAGCTGTGTTGTACTGAAGATTTGTACTTGCACAGGATTGCACTTGATGATTTTACTGTCTTTTTTAAAATGGCTTTTATGTGACAAGCAGTCACGATTTCCTGGAACTTCTGCCCTGACACCTGCGGGGTCGTTAAGTCACTCAAAGGTTAATAGGTCAGATACATGTGAAAGATACAAAATACACAACAAATTCACATTTCCAGCACTTTAAGTAACATCACAGCAACACTTGATAGAACTTGCATGGTTAAACTATAAACAGACATCTTATTGTGAAGGATGCATACATCATCAGAGCCCTTTGTTATTGTTGTGAGATCAGGAGACAAAGGTTGTGGTGACTCAGTGCCAACATAATCCTAAAGCCGTCTGCAGAGGAACACGAGAAGATGAGTTGTCATGATCCCTCACTGTGAGCTTATCTGCTCAATTCAGTTTATCTGCTGCGCTACTCGAGCCTGTCTGTGTTGGCACCCATCTGCCCAGCTCAAGTGCCACTGAGCAAGGCAGTGCCAGACAGGCATTGACCTCTGACCTCTCCGGAGCCTCGAAAATACTCTCTTTTATGCAAGTGGATCAGGTGTAAACACACACACACACACCTCAGAGCCTCAGTTTAAATGAAATTCTGGGCATTTCTCATTTTCTCTTTTTAAGCCTGTTAAAGGAGAATTCCCCAGATTTTACACACAAAGTTCAGTCTGCTCGTCACGAGTGTTTCTCCTCAATCTGTGAAAAAGCTGATTTTATCATCATAGCTGTCCTGGCGTCGTTAAAATTCGTTACAGAAGCTGGACATGAGGAGGCAGGGAGGCTCCGATAAAAAGCTTTATTCATTTCCATAATGAAAATCATGGGGCGTTTTATTAGCTCGATGCACAGTACGAACTAAAAGTCCCTTGTTTTTTTATATGTAATATCCGTGTTAATGCTGCAACTAATGATTGTTTCCATTATTGATTGATCTGCAGATCATTTTCTCTATTAATCTATTAGTTGTTTTGTCTATAAAATGGTAAATGTTAATTTGATCTACAGTCCAAAACCTAAAGATATTCAAATTACTATTACATATAACAAAAATATGAAAATCTCACATGTGAAGAGCTGAATCCTGAGAATATTTTTCATTTTGCTTGAGTTGCAGATAATTCTTTAATCCATTAATCGACTAATCGTTGCAGCTGTACCTCCATGAGGGTCATCGTGGAATAAAGTCAAAGGTTTGTCAGGTGGTGACGTGCCGACAGTATAGCTAATGTTAGCAGCTACATGTTCTCAGACCTCGAATTTGAATTTGACCTCATATGATTCAGTAAAACACTGATTTAAAAAAGCCCTTTAACAGTAAAGTTATACAGTAGAACAGTGTTTAGCGAGGAGTCAGGCTTGTATTTCTCATAGTTTGGTTAGTTTTCCATAAATGAAATTTGATCTTGTATGTTATTTTGGTGAAGCTCTTGTTCAACTGCTTTTGCTTCAGCATTTAATACTTGGTTAAATATCTCAGCTCCTGTTGCTTCAGTTGTTGTGAGTCCGCCAACATGATGAATCTGCAGCAGTAAAATGTGCTGGATCACAATTTGCTTATACTTCACATTACCGCTGACCGTTTTCCGCAGCGTGCCCTTTGCTCTCCGATTTCCGACCTTCTAGGAAGCAATTAGTGGCCGTTAATTTAAAAATCAAATTGTCGTGAGTCGTGAAAGTTGTTTGAAAGCCATCTGCAGTGAGACACGAGAAGATGGTTGTCACGATTCTCTCGGTGTGATTAGTCACAATTAACTGAACTTGTGCCACAACTAATGAGTCGAGGCAGTGGACGGTGAACTTTCACCTCTGGTTTGTTGGTGGAAATAGTCGTGACTTAAAAGAAGAAGGAAGAAAAGGATGTCTGCAGGAAGGGAAATAGGAATAGAATAGGAATAAAGGTCATTAATAGATGGTGTTTTAAAATTTTAGGGTGGAGTTTCCCTTTAAAGCTGTGGATGTCTGCAGGGAAAGAGGAAACAGTCTGAACTTCAGTGACCAAAACCCATGAGTTGTTTATACACCAGTGATGCTCAGCTGTAGTGAAGGATGAGAAAGGCAACAGGTGTCATTGTGGAGCTCTTCGTTTGGACAGAGCGCCCACTCTGCTGCTGCATTTAAGGCTTTTTGCGTCTGTTCCTACGGGCAGAGATGTGTGAGACGTTCTCCAGCAGGGTTAATGAAGTTCGTGTGTGATTGTTCCGTTTAAAAATATCAACTCTTACCGCACATGTAGGTTCAAAGAGCTGCTTTCAGCTGACATCAATGAAGAGCTATACATACCAGCTGTTAAACCTATTAGTGTGTCATTTTCTCTTGACGTATTTCTTTTTACCGTTCATTTCAATAAAAGGTTGAACCCAGATAACCTTCTCTTTTACTTTCAATAGTTTACTCACTTTACCTCTTGACTAATTCTATTTGTGTGAGCAGATGTGCAGCTGCAGACTCGTGTTTCTTGTGTCGGACGAGGTGGACTTGCTGCGTTCATTCATAAAATGTTAGGGAGAGTTTTCAGAACAAGCGGTTGATTATAGACAAGGAGGGTTGAACCACAGAACTCTAGTTCTTGGTGTTTTTATTAGATTTTTATCAGACTTTTATTGAGCTGTAGTTCTGTTTGGTCTCATTGATGGAGCTGGGTTTGAAATCAAAATCAAAGTTTAGGTGCTGATACTGAAATTTTGGTTATTTTACTGTAAGAAATTTAAACATTTTTCTGCAAAACCTTTTTGTTTTATTTACAAAAGAAGCCAAAGTTCTGAAAAGTTAAAGTAAATTTTTAAAGCGCCATCCAGTCTGAAGGTAGATGTCCATGTGTAGTGTGATTATAGATCAGCTCTAGCTTCTATATTAATACTGTGAAAGTATCAAAGCCTCAGTCCACAGAGAAATGCACACAGCCTGTATTCAGAAACTGAGCCTTAAAACCAGCCGTCAGGACTTCCTGTAACTTTGTGATGTCACAACAAAGTCACGGTAAAATATGCACCTTTTAAAGCAAATATTCCCTGTTTTATTTATTTGCCGTTTCCATTGTGTAAATATACTTTATATACATTATTTTGGCACCAAATAATACAGAAGTGTCTGGAAAACCAAATGAACATGAGCCAGAGTCCGTTATTCAAAGTGATTAGATGCAAATGATACAGTGACCATGTCGTTGCACTGTGTTGTATTTCTAACCCTCAATTCACCAACTCTTCAGATGATGATGATGATGATGAACGCACCCTGATATAGAAATCACATTAAGTTCAAATTAAATTGAATTGAATTACAGGTTTTAATGAATTAATTGGTACATTTAGTATATTTGTATTTACAATTTGCCAAATATGTAAATTAACAACATCTTCGTTACATTAGTAGGAACCATAATCACAGTTATATTTCCTTTGAAACGTATTTGCTGGTGCAGTTTAGTTGTTCCTAGAACACAGTGTTGGAGCACTCGCAGGTTGTAAACATGGGAATCTTTCCCGTTGTTTCCGTCCATCCTACACGAACCTGAACGCAGCGTGACACACAGGATGTTCTCAGTGATGCAAACACAATAATCATCGTCTTGTCTCTTTTTGGAAATGACGGGATATTTCAAGTTTACGAAATTTGTTACTGGTGTAGTTCTATGAATATATTTATTTTCAGGTTTGTCATTGTTTTCAAAATATGTGATAAAAAGTTGAGTAAAAGTCTTTGTTAGTCGGTTCTGATAGTTGAGTAGATATTTTAGATTATTTGAGAATATAGAAGCTCACAGAAAAAAAAAAAACACGTCTGATTTTGATGATCATTTTTTAGATCTAGAACCATCAAGATTTCCTGTGGCTACTTCACAATAAAAGTCATTGTTCTCCTTGGAAAGCCCCTTGTTCTTATAGGCAGTGATTGCAAATTGTAAATATTGGAAATTCTTTGAACGCAGCATGACTGATAACAATGTTATAGTCATCGTTTATCTTGTCAGGAAGTTTGACAATGACCACATTTGTTATTCGGTGGGTTTTCCTTTTCTGGTTTGTCATAATTTCCAACGTTATCTTGTTGAGTAAATGTTTGTTATGTTGTCATTTCCATTTAGACGTCAGCAGCTTGAAACTTTGACGTATCTTGTCCGCTGTTTTTTTTTAAATTTTATCTACTTCAAAACACTGTGTATTCGCACTGACCTTCTCGTATAATCTAGGAAAAATATTATTATGTAAAGCTTCAGAAAATGTCCTACGTCACAATAAAAGACACTGTCTTCCCTGGAATGCTTTTAACATGAAAGGCAGCTGCAGGAAGAGTTTCTCAGTGTAGTTTTAGGAGCTGAATTCATCCTCGGGCCTTTAACTTACACGATCAGGGGACACCGTGCAGGGGAGAGGGAAGACCTCCGGTGGGGTGAAGTGATTGGGGGTCCGGTGCAGCGGCAGAAACAGATTCGTTAATGGACGTCGTGACCGGGTGCTGGAAGGACTTAATGACAAACAGAGCTGATTGCAGCAGGGCGGAGGGTGTTTAAGCTCTCATCCTGAGCTTTATTAGAGTAAAGGAGGTGGAGATGTTGAAGATGTCCCCGAAAGACATCAGGTTAGCTAATTAATCGATCGGTTGATCTACAGGAAAATCTGCATGGTTTCAGAAACGTAATCAAGTAATTCATAGAGATAGAGTTAAATGACAAATTGTTTCCATTATTTATCAGCTAAAAATGCCAAACTCTCATTGGTTCCAGCTTCTACATGCGAGGATTTCTATTTTTTCTGTCATTGTAAATTTTTGTATTTGTAGTTTTTGTTGATCAGATAAAACAAGATATTTGAAGACGTCAAAATTTTTATCTACTTTAAAACACTGTGTTGTCACTCTGAGCTCCTTGTATAATCTAGAAACGTCACCTCTCTTATTATTGCGTAAAACTACATAAAATGTCCTACTTCAAAATAAAAGTCATTTTATTCCTTGGAATGCTTTTACTTTGGGGAACTTGTGATGGTTATTCTTTTTTTTTTTTTTTTTTGCATCAATAAAATTTTACAATCAATAAAATGACAAACAGTTGATCTCCTACGGGAAGAAATATTCAGTTCATAGTGAAAATCAGAAGTCGCCACCTGACTTTAAGGCTTTAATTACTACAGCTATCTCATGCCTGGCTGAACGTAATTACGCGTGTTCATCATTTTGTGGAGCTTCGCTGACACGTCGTATTCTCATGTTGTTTGTCTTGATTTACATTTCCACTAATGCTCCGGACGGACATCAGCCCTCTCGTCTCCTCTGGCATCAATGAACTTAGCCGTAATTCTGCTCTTGATAGTATCTTCCTGTTTCCTGGACACAAACGAAACATCTTGTTTGCATTGTATCTGCATCAATAATGGTCTTTTCTCATGTTTGAGTAGCAGCTCCCCGTGGAGAATTTGAATAGCAAATCCTGAAGCTAGTCATTGGCGTTCTGTGATGCTGAAGGCAGGGCGCCTCGTGGCTGCCGCTGCGGTCAACAACAACCCTCCGTTATCAGTAAATACTTCCACACTGTGTCTCTGATCCCGGAGCATCACTAAGAGCAGTCAGTCCTGCAGAAAATAAGCATCGCCCTGTTTAATCCTCTACAGCTGATGATGCCTCTGGTCATCTCCCAGCAAGATGCTCACAGGATGACCTCCTCACTTCTTATAATACTAATGTTGTTCCCCCAACTTTTATAGTTTCAGTTAGATTATCCTCCCGAATAACTAAGCTGCAGGCAACAGAAAGCTCAGATAATTGTGTTGAAGCTACATGTGTATTTTTAGATTTACAAACTAACTACCAGCTCATATCTCTGTTGTATCAGTAGCAGAAATAAAGAGATGCTAAAAGTCAACACTAACAGACACTAAAAGTTTTGTAACTTAACCAAAGTCTCTGTAAAGGCTCCAGGCAGCAGGGATCAGGAGTAATATCCACGGGCCAACAGGCGTCGAATCTACTGTCTGACTCCCAGCTGGTCTCCTCGGTGAACGGGCGGGGAAAACGTGTCGTCACCTGCACCGCTGAAAGCTAAACTTTATCACACTGTACTCAAGTGACTTTTTAACACTGTGTAAGGCTGTATATGCTTTCATTTAAGTGGCTGGCAGGCGGGAGAAAGCGAAAGCTGAGAGCGTCACGTTGGACTACGGCTGTTTCCCAGAGTCTGAACGTACCAGTTGCAAACATACTGGTAACAAATAGTAGGTGGTTGTTCGGTTGCTCAGTTCTTTGCCTCGTTACCTCTGAATCACCGTCCACATCTCAGGTGTTTCCCCCCCCCCGGTGAGAGATACAACTGACCAATCAGAGCTCAGGAGACAGGGTTATAAAGAATAGTGATGTTTTCTGTCTTTGTAGCTAGTGCGCTAGTGCGGAAAATGGCGGAAAGCCCCCCCCCCCACCATCATTATCATCTGAAATTTAACAATTTACTGTTTATTTACAATTTACAATTTAATCGTTGGACTTTGGACTGTTCCTGAACACAACACGACATCTGCAGACGTCATTTTCGACTCTTCGGGAATTTACATTTTTCACTATTTTCTGACGTTTTATTGAATAAAAGGTTAATAGAAAAAATATACACTAGAGTTCTTATTCATGATAGAAATTGTTAGTGATGGGGGTGGTGTGTGTGTGTGTGTGTGTGTGTGTGTGTCCAATCTAATGTCTTTAAAAACCAAAGATATTTAATTTACAACAATATAAAACTGAGAAAAGCAGTAATCCTCACATCTGTGGCAGGAAACAGATGTTTACATGATAAAGTATGAATATGATTACTCCTCTATCAGAATGTCAAGGGTTTTTTTTTTTTTCTTTTAAATTTTATTTTTGTTTTGTTCCTCACCATCAACGCTGCTTTCTGTTCATTTCTCAAGAAGAAAATCAACTTGCAGGGACTTGAAACTCACTTAAGATTTTTTAGAGCTGTGTGGTGAATGAATTAACTAGAATGCACTTGAACCTGCAGCTGTGTGTGTGTGTGTGTGTGTGTGTGTGTCTGTGTCTGTGTGTGGGGTGTGTGTGCATGTGTGTCTGTGTGTGTGTGTGTGTCTGTGTGTGGGGTGTGTGTGCATGTGTGTCACAAGCTGCACAAGCTCCTGAGAGCATCGAGAACAGGAACTTCCTCTGGTTTCTCTTTGTGCTTTGGTCTGATTTCTCGTCTGACGCTCGCTCTTTCTGTTGCATTTTCTGAAGACACACAGACCTGCAGTCGTATACTTATGAGGACATTCATTCTGTGGCGCCTTACAATCATTTATATTCTGATCCTAAACTTAGAACCTTGTTGGGACGAGGGGTGGGCGATGTATCGAATACACTCGATGTATCGCGGCTTGTTCCACCTGAGATATAAAACAGTATAAATTATCACTTATGACACCGGCATGAAGTTCTCTCTCTCTTTTATCTTTTTCTGCATCTCACAGACGTACAAACTCTTGCATGTGTGACGTAGGTGAGGAGGCGTGTGCGTCGCAGCCCTGTCTTTCTACGTACAGTTTGTTGTTTGTTTTTTCTGTGATGGCTCGTCACTGACAGGTGTATATTACTTTAATCCTGATTGTTTCAGGTCACCTGATGCGACTTCTGACAACACTGAGTTTGTGATTTTTGTCTGGTTTTACAGAAATAAGAAAGAGAAATTCTTAAATCTTAATTCTTAAAACTAAAACAGCAAATTCTTTAACAATGTTAAATTGTGAGGTGTATTTAATAGGGTTGTCAACTAATAAAATTAGAGAACAGTAACGCGTGATGCTCCTTGACTCCATACAGGATGCGGACAACTCTGTGAGGGATGTCGCGTACCTGTGTCCGGTCTGTAAGGACTCCGACTCTCGCTCGGCCCTTTGGTGACAATGAAACTGACCAGTGATCGATTCACTTTTCAAAATAAAAGCTCTTTCAGACCTTCACGTGCCACTACAGTCCCAGATCTCTGATTAGGAAGCAGCTGATCTTGTGTTGAAAACGAGGAAGGGTTTGTCAGGCAGATTTTGCAAAGAACGTCTGCAGGAAGTTTTCTGACTCGACCGAAAACTTTAAACATCAAACACTTGATCAACTCTGCAGAGGCGCAGATGGCCCCCAGTATTTTTAATTTATGTTGTATTCACTTTATTTAAATACTGCGTCTGGCCTTAAAACGACCAAGCAACAGTCAAAAATGCACATTGACGAACACAAAGAGAATCTGACCTTTCTGTGGTTGTGTTGTCGGCCGACCAGCTTCCTCCCCTGGACAGTTAATGTCACCTCGCATACGGTCATATGACTCATTCAGGAAGCTGAAGTGTTCATGTTCTCATTGACTTGTGAAAGTACAAGCTCTTCACAGAACAGATAGAAATCAGACCCGAGTGTCTTATTGTGAAGGGACAGCATTAACCACCAGATGTCTTTTCAACATCCTCATCTGTTCAGATGATCTTATTTTTGTCACCAAAAGCAAACTTCTGTCTTTGTTTATTGGTTAAAAAGTGGACATCACGTCGTCTTCCCACCCGGTTTAACCCAAACCTGTTTGTTTTACAGGAGGAGGTGGAAACAGAAAAGGAAAAAGCAAGAAATGGAAGCAGATGCTGCAGTTCCCCCACATAAGTCTGTGTGAAGAGCTGCGACAAACCACAGGTAGGATAAAGGTGTCTTTACCCCACTTTTACAGAGGAGAGCTTTTTCTTTTTTCATTTCACATGAAAGTCGTGGTGTTCACCCCTTCAGATAAAAACACATCTTGTCTAGCCATCGCCCAACCTCCATATCATCAAGCTCTTTGTGTCAAGGCTGGAGGGAGGGGGTTAATGAGACTTCCTCCTTTTGGCATCTGGGCTGTTTGGTGGTTGGTAAAGAAAAGACAACTCTAAGTTATTGATTTAACCGCTGTATAAAGGCTTTTCCTACAGTCAACCGGCTCCGTAAGCTGCAAATCAGACCATCGTAACTGTAAATGATGGTGTCATATTGGCAGTGTTTTTCTTAGCGTATTTGAATTTGAAGCTGCAACTGTTATTTCCATGTTTAAAGTTAAACTTTTTCAGTGTTTTATTTTGAAGTGTTGATCCATAAGAAGATATATTTGTGGTTTTAAGAACTAAAAACCATCTCAGTGTAGTTTTACATCTCCTCTCTCAGGCTTCTCTCTGGAGCTCTAGTAACAACAGGTCGGTGAGCCAATCAGAAGAGAGGAGGCTCTGAGCCTCTCTTCTGATTGGCTGACTGTTGAATGAATAAATTAACAAATAAAATACAGCAGATTTCAGGTAAAACAACTCAGAGAAACCAAATCCTGCAAGGCTGGGTGGCGGGTCCAGGTGGGCGGGGCACAGGACGACTGACTGCTTTGTTGTGACATCACAAAGTTACAGGAAGTCCTGATTTATTTTAAAGCTCAGTTTCTGAATACAGGCTGTGTGCATTTCTCTGTGGACTGAGGCTTTAATACTTTCACAGTATTAATATAGAACCTAGACCTGATCTATAATCAATGAGCACATATCTACCTTTATACAATATGGGACCTTTAAATATCTTTCTAATTATTTGGACAATTAATTACTATGATATGTTTTTGAGAGTATATTTGAGAGAAATCTATATCATCTTAAAGATTTTATAAATGATTAAAAAAAAATTGCTTCATTCACTGCATCACTTAAAATTTATCCTGGGGGATGCGACATAAATTTGTGTCCCCAGTTTCATTGCGTGTTGATTTCAGTCTGAACCAGAGTCGTGGCTAAACGTTGTAGGTACGTCACTGTCACACATCACGGATTAAAAATTATATCCAAACGTCACTCAGGCCAAGTATCTCCTGCATTTTTCTTTTATTGACTTAATAGCACATGACAAGTTAATGTTCACTAATAAAATCTGGACAATATTATAGGAATGACATGAATTATATTTTAAGGATTTTCTTTATAAGTGGCAGCAGCTGACTCCTCGTCGTCTTCTTTATAGTGGGAAAGTCCCCCGCTAGGGGACCTTCAGACTGGGATATTAATGCATGAGTTACAACACACTGCAGCTCCATGTATAGCTCTGTTCTGTAGCATATCGAAAGCTCTAATTGAGTGATTGTTTCAGCCACACTTGCAGAAAATGATGTCCCCACATACACAGCAGTAAATGTCAGCAGTAAGTGTCTTGATTTAAGCTGTGGATGTTGGTATGGTGGCCCTGAAGTTCCAAACACAAAACAAAAAAATCAGGAACAAATCACATCAGTTGGCTTCTTCAGGACACACAGATCCACTGAAACATGATCTAACCATACTGTAATATCTCACTATTATTAATGTATTAGACAAAATGATCAATGTTGATTTTTCATTTCCTCTGTGTAGCAGTGGCGGCCTGTAAGACTGTACGAAAATAGACATCCATTCATTCATATGCTAGATATCAATACTCTCAGACGTCAATCAAAGGTATAAAATGGGCCTCCGCACTCTCGGCTCTATCAGTGTTTCTACAGGGACTAAAAGCAAAACCTTGACTCAGCGATCGTATCTGCCAACGCACGCTGCAGATTCTACACAGTAGTACTGGGCGGATGGACACACACACTGTTGTGAGTCAAGAAATAGTTCCAACTTCGTCTGAAACCACAAATTTATTTCTGTTTGTGTTTGGATTAAAATTAGTAGTATAACGTATTAGTATAATGTATTAATTAGTGAACTTGATAGGATTTAACTCTGGACAGCGCCAGGCGAGCTGTTTCCCCCTGTTTCCAGTCTTTATGCTAAGCTAAGCTAACTGGCTGCTGGTTGTAGCTTTATATTCAACATACAGGTGTGAGAGTCGATCTTCCTGTGTCACAGTCAAAAAGAAGAAGCATATTTTTTTTAACAGATTACATACAGGCTATACTGGTGTTGCAGTGGTTAGCACTGTTGCCTCAAAGCTGGAAGGTTCTGTGTGCGTGTTAGCATGTTCTACTTGTGTTCCCTCTCATCAGAAAAAAAAAAAAAAAATAGCAGCTTCTATAATAAGTAAAAACTATTTCTGTTATCATAACTTTCATTTAATCTGCGTGGTGTTTAGATGAAGTTAAAATAACAAATTTGAGACCTGCTGCATCTTGTGCAAGAAAACGCTCAGTTTAGGAAATTTTGGTATAAAAACAGTTGAGTCACATGGGAAGTCAGAAGAACATAAAGCCACCAGCAAACACACACACAGTTCTGTGTAGTCAATGTTCATGGTGATTGTGGTCTTAAAAATGCCTTAAATTTAACTTGTTGGAACCTGCAGAAACCTTCCCTAAATCATCTTAACGATTTGTCATGAGCGCACTCAGACTGCTGATCAGATAAAACTCTCTGCCGTTGACACACTACTTTCAAAGAAACGCAGCTCAAATCTGTCCTAACTTGACTCCCTTTATACCAGGAACATCATTGTCCCAGTTCTAAAAAATAAAGAGCAGGACAACACTGAATGCATTCGGGCTCGGAAAAAAAAACTTGCTCAAGTGGTACCACAGAGGAAACCGTGGCCGGTACAGAAAGAGGAAGCAGAGTGGTGTTTTTGCTGTTTCAACCAGTGGTACGGTTAGTTTCATTTTAACAGGTTGGAGGTGGAAACCAGATTTAATGATCCTAGACCAGACAGAAGAACTCCGATAGAGTGAGGAGAGGACAGGAGTGAAAGTGGAAGAGTTAAATTCATTGATCTTCATCCAATCTGCACCATCAAATGAAGGCAAAATAAAGTTGAGCAATGATTGCATGTAGTTTTACTGCAATAAATATAGTGATACAACTTTATAACTTTGTTAAGTGTGTTGGAGAATAAAAATCACATCCACAACTCCAGCAGCTGCTGACTGAGAGAATGTCCTAATATGTCAAAATGTTTTTAAAGTTATTTTTGGGGCATTTTTTTTTTTTGGCTTTTACTCTGATAGTTGCAGTGAGAGAGAGACAGGAAAGGCTCCTGCGATTAAGACTAAGCCTTCATGGTAGGCTCTCTACCATGGCGTCCTGCAGATCAGTATTTTAATGTATAGTATGCAGCTGTGACAATGTTGTCCACTGATGAGGCTGCAACGAGGGCAGGATGTCCGGGGAAGTGAATACGATGCTTCAGAGCGATTGTGCATCAGAGAGAGGAAAAAGAAAACGAGAGATTGTTGTTGGGAAGCCAGTGAGGGATCGTGCCCAGAGGAGTCAACGAGATGACCAGGGTGTATGAGATCATGAGATGTAGAGTGAGTGTCAGGATATCTCTGCAGGCAGCTTCAATGTATGCTTTTAGATAAGTTGGTTAAGTCAGGCTGAGTTTTGAAATGATAAACATCGTTGAGGTCATTTGTTTTTCTGCTTCTGCTGCATTTCACACGTATCTAAAATCTCCCGTACCTCGCCCGAAGCGCTGAGAACAGTTCTGCTGATGGCCTCGGGACCTACGCACAACAACTCTTTTGTTGCTTGTTATGTGCCTGCCGTGCACCGCACAGAGGGCACATGTCTCGTTCCCTGAGATGTAGAGACATAGTAGAACGTAGAGACATGGTTGAAACTTTAAACAGGTCAAAAGACTTTGCAGTTTATGTTTTGTTTTTTTTTTTGCCATTTTTAGACTGTAGCTTTTAGCTGTGTTCCAGTTCAAGGGCCGCATCCTTCAGTGGTGCAACTACGCTGTCCCATTTCGAAGGCCCCTTCAAATGCGGCTGAGAAAATGCGTCCCTTCTTTTCCTGAGCACCTATCCCAAGATTAATTGCACTCTGATAATGAAAAAGATATGGCAGCAAACAGCACAGATAGAGAGCCTGAGGGATTACACTTTTAAATGTAAATATTGGGTTTCAGCGGTACAACTGTTAAAACCAAGGGCCTTTTAAAACCTCAGGATTTTGAGGGGAAAAAAGTTACATGTTGTCAAGGTTGCTAGGCGACAGAGGCCACACTTAGCGACAACAGGGCAAAGCGAAAATCCTAAAAAATAAAAAAACAAACAAAAAAACTCTTTCAACTTCTTCTAAATCCCACAATTTCCAATCTTGGTGAACAATTTCTATATCAAAACGTAGAGAAATCTGTCCTCTCTCGCCCAGACTTGCTCTCATTGTGACATCACTCACGTTATTTTAATAAATTGCCCGGAAGTGCAGAGAGCGCTGGCGAAAACCGCCATAGACGACCATGTTAAACTGAACTCTGAAGTTCTTGTCAAAAACAGAGATGATGCCGGTTTTAAAACTGCGACAGCTCCAAAACCGTAAACAGTAGGTACACATATAATGCATCAGTGTCTTCATTAAAGCCTTGTGACGCTCAGAGTGAAGAAACGTTTTTGACAGAACTTGCACTTTTCAAGCTATGAGGACATTTCCGGTTAGATGTTTTGGCTCACAAACTGTTGTCTGTGCCTGTTGCCTGTGTTTTTCCCCCTGTCCCTGGGGGGACCAGTCATCATAGTAACCAGTTACTCAGCAGTTGCTGGGCAGAAGTGGACTAAGTTGACTCTGATTGGCTACTTAGACTGATTAACTCTTTTATTAACTCCTTTATTACTGTCAGCCATGATGTCCTCTCCTAGCAGGACAAATCAAACAGCAGCTTTAAGGCAGATCAAAAAAGATATTAACAAGGCCTTGATTAGTGATTCAAACATGATG